GAGGAAAAATGAAGAAGATGGCATGGAGCTTGACACGAAGAAAATGAAGACCAAGAGCTTAAAGAAAACTTAGCATAAGTTTAGACTTTAGTTCATGGCCTCATAGGTATCTTAAGACTGTTGTGTAATCTTCCTCATGTAAATAAAACTTGCAAGATTTTAGAATGAAATCTTCATTACAAATCAAAATTGTAACCTTGAAATTGATGTAATAATCTTGTCAATTTGGTAAACTTTGAATGTATTTTTAAACTTTGAGAAAATTGCGAATCCTTGTATATTGAAGCTTGGTCATAGAACTTGAATGAATGGATGATGAATATAACATGAATGGAATAGTTGAATAAGCTTTATATCAAAACTCTTTTAATTCCAAATTCAAAGAACCTTGAAAGGTAGTTGAAACCATGAATAAAATTTGAAACGTTGCTTTAGAAACTTCAAATTCAATTTGTGTGAAAACCATGCTTTATTGTTAAACTTGAAGCCTTAATGAATAAGTTCCAAGAAACTTGGATTTTTTTTTACAAGAATTCCAACTCTATTCAGTTCTAATCCGTACCAACCTTGCATGATGAACAAACACGATGATACTTCCACCAATCCTGATCCAAGAAGGAACCAAGTACTTCCCTTGATTGAAATGGTATCTTCAATGCCTTCAAAAACCCTTGAGAAGTATAGAGAAATAAACTCTACTTCAACCTTGGTAACTTGACGAAGAAAAGCCCTAAGCTTGATGAGAAGAGATCTCTAGGATCAAAACCCTAACCTTGTTAATCTTTTGAATCAAAATGTCTGGTGTACTAGGATAAGACTTATGATGCCACTGTTTTAAGAATTTCGTCAAGGGAAAAACAATCATTCCAATAATCAAAACCCTAGCCATTTCTAACTCTATGATGAAACAGAGGGTCAACTTGAGATGTCATGAGGTTTGAGCCCGGTAGACTGAATGATCAAAATGATATGGAGACGAAATCCAATCTTGGACTTCCAGATAATACAACTAAATTCCATAGCTTGGAGAAAACCATGAAGATCATAAACCTTGATCCCACCTAAAAATGCATGAATGTGTATGACGAAACATAAGTCACAAAAGTAAAATAAAGAGGGCAAATTTTGGGGTGCAACAGCTACCTTAAACACACTCTTTAAAATTTCTTTGTCTACTTATCTCGCTTAACACATATTTATGGCCATATGTTATCCTGTTTGATGAATTTGCATGAGAGAAACTCCAATACTCACTTTGAGACAACACCATCTTAAAATTCACATAGGTGAAATTTATATTGTGTCTTTTTTTCCATGAGACACGTACCTTCGGTATTGATCTTCATTAAGAGTTTAAAATAAAACTTAACCCTCATTTTTAAGATCAACATTATCACGAAATGTTCGACAATCATCCAAATCAACGACTTGATGCTACCCATTGAATCTTGAGGTTAATGTTCTGTTAATTATATTATACATGAATAAAATTGGGATCTTGTATGTTATGATTTATCATGGATTTACATGTATTTTAATAATTTATTTGATTGATTCTGATTGGTTTTGTAAGCATTTTGATGAGAAACTTAACACTTGAATTGTGTATATAAGTGTTGGAATTTAATGATGTTTGAATATAACATGGATTGTATCTAATTTCTACATGTTATAATGATGTGTTAAGATGATTTGTACTATGAGATTATGTATATGTGAATTATTGGTATGAAATATGTATGTTATGCAATGTTGTGAAGATAATCGAAATGTGTAAAATTATGTGATGGGTTATTTAGATGGCACATGTACATGCACCATTTTTGTCAAGAGGTAAGATTTGGTATTTCCATTGGAACTATTGACTTGTCCCCAACCTAACATTGAATGGGGTTTGAAAGCTTAAGGCTGAATCAGACTTTTATTGGTGGTTATCTATCTTGGAGATGTGGATTCGGCAAGACCGATAAGGATAATATTTGGTACTACATGCATAATGCATTTGAGTTGCATTGGAGTCACATGTGTCGATGTGAATTGTTGATTTATTATGCATTATATGATGTATGTGCGAATGTTGTAGTTTGTGCAAAATGTGTGATGATTGAATTGATTTATATACTTGTGATAATGTTGATTGATTACATTTGAAATATGAATGAATGAGCTATGTTGTATATGAGAACATGTATGATGATTTATATTTATGCCAAATGCATGACTATGTGAAGTGTGGTGAATTCTATGTTGTACGTATGTTTTACATTGTTTATAATTATATATTTTCATAATGATGTAGATTCTTACCCTTATGTTGGAATGATGTTCTTATGCGATATCACTCAGGTACCAGTGATAGTGGTGCTTCTTGCCATGATTAAAGGATGAGCTAGATCCTTATTTATCTGCTTATTCCTAGGTAGTGAGTCATTACTCTGGTCTATGTAACACAGGGGATATTCGAACTCATGTTTTAATTTTTTTTGGGAGATATTTATTATTACTCTCTTTTATTTGGATATGTATGATATTATGTGATGTTTGGCCTTAGTGCCTAGTACTTATGATATGATTGTCAGTATGGGATTTCAATCATTTATATCTTTATGTTGAGATAATTATCCCGCTGTGAGATGCATAATTTTGTATTGGCGTATGAAACATGAATTGGAATACATTTTATGATCATGACCGTTATGCATGTTTAATTTCTTTATCGCTTTGTGAAGTCAATTGTGACGCCCTTTTTGAGATGTATGCTAATTTACTCTGATTATGATATTTATGTCTATGTGGAGTTAGAGGGTGTTACATTTTCTTAATATATATTTTTTAACCCTCACTCTTTCGCTTTACTTAGATCAAAAAGAGGGTGTCCATTATTTCAAGATCTTTGCATCTTGAATGTGAAATCTAGAAACCTCGTTATTTCTCGGATTCCATTCCTCTCGTTGATAATGATAAACATATAATAAACACAGAAACAAAGATATATCACAATATTCTCACACAACTTGTGTACAAACACTTGTCACGAGAATTAGATGAAGAAGGTTTTTTATGATCATGTACGATGATGCAAGAACATTTTTAGATGAAGTGAGACATGAAATTATGAGTAATTTAAAGTAGTATAATATTAATTGCAATGACTATCTTGGTTATGTTCACTTCTTTAAAATTTTCACTTGAATTTCTATGTTCAACCTTCTTGACTAACTTCATCATTGATGTGCATGACATTTTTGATCATTTTCTTCTTTGATAAACTTTGTCTTCATCAAAACTAGATATAACTTGTATTCTTCACAATCTCCCCATTTTTGATGATGACAAACTATTTGAATTATTTTTTGATAAGATTGTAAGTCTCCTTATAAGTTGTGTGTCTCTCTTTAATTGGTGAATCTTACAATAGCAAAATCAAACTTTTGATGTCATTGTTTTATCGCTTATTTTAACCTATACAAGAATTTGACAAGCTTGCACGCCTTTTGTTCATTACCAAGAAGCAAACAACCTTCTGGTTTCTTCATGTAAATCTCCTCATCGAGATATCCATTTTAAAATGTTATTTCGACATTAATTTGATGAACTATAAGGTCATGCAAATAAGCTAAAGCGAATGACACTCTAAATTTTATTTTGCTTGCTACTCGTGCATATATGTGTCAAAATAATCAACACATTCCTTTTATCTAAAACTCTTGGTTACTAATCTACCCTTGTAGGTTTTTAGTGTACCATTATTATAGAACTTCCTTCTAAACATTCATTTGCATCTAATAGATTTTTATCCTTTAGGTAGGTCAACAAGTTCTCAAGTGTGGTTTGACATTATTGAATTCATTTCGTCTTGGATAACATCATTCCAAGAGAAGTTTCTTGAAGTTACTTCTTCATTTCCATTTGAAGAATAATAGAAATATTACGAACAAAATTCTCACTATTTTCTTCTACTAGATAAAATAAATATGTCGACAATCAATTTTGTTCAGTCCTAGATCCTTAGCCTTTCATACTTTCTGCTTATTCTAAGTTCGAGTTGTTTTTTCAAAAATCTGTGTCGAACTTTTGGTTTATGCTTTAACAATCCAATGTGAACCTTCCTCGCGAGATTCTTAATTTATAGAATCTTAAATTTCATATCCTCTGCGATAAGGTTCTCAAAATTCCACATCTCATGATTCAATAGTTATATTAGATTCCAAATTCAGAAGTCTATATGAGTCACGATTCATTTTCGGATGATTTTTATGCCTTATAATAATAAATTTTATTAAACACAAACAATTCACATAACATATAGATCATAGTTCAATTGCGTAATTTGAAATTATAAACGTTAATGAATTTCAAAATATAGGTGCAACATTTTATTCAAAATTTGATAAATAAAAATTTATATTACACTAGTATCATTTATCACAATTGAATAGAAAATAACTAATAACCAACAAAATCATTTGAATAAAAGAGTAATTTAATCTCACATGTTAAATATTTACCTTTCACCATGGTTATGAATAAACAAACACGAATGTTTTCTCTCCATCAAAATTACATCCATAAGTTATTCACAAAAATTATAATTTAAAATCACATGAATTTAAAAGTAAGGTACAAGTTCCCTGCTCCCAATCAGATTTACTATCAGGAGCTGAAAGAAAGGCATGGGTTGTGGCACATGGAGAGGTAGAGGAAATATCACATAGAATTTGAGACTTTGGTAAAGATATTGGGATTCACAATATTTGGGATGAAGGAGAGTTAGTGGAAAAAAAACTATTGGTGAATGAAGTTAGAGATAAGAAGATCTCAAAGAAGGCTAGAGGAGGTGGTGGAAGAGGAAAGTAAGGTAGTGGGTGGGGCTACTGTGAGGAGATAAAGGAGGTAGTAGTTAAATTATAAAGATCATTAGCTATAACATTAGAGGTCTGGGAGGGGCGGAGAAAAAGAAGGAGGTTTCTCAAGTTATTCAAAAAAATTGACCTGATTTGATGGGTACTCAAGAAACTAAGAAGGTGGAGATGGAGGGGAGGATGTGCGCGAATATGTGGGGTGATGAAAATTGTGGGTATAGCTATAAGGCAGTGATGGGAAGATCTGAAGGATTATTGATCATGTGGAACTCAAAAAATTTTAAGAAACAAGTAGAGTTCAGTGGAAATTATTTTGTAGGATTGAAAGGTAGTTAGAGGAAGAGGAAATTCAAGTGATCATAATGAACGTATATGCTAAGTGTGATTCTAGTGGAAAGAGGAGGCTTTAGAACAATTTAAATGGGATGATAAAAGCATGTCTGGATGCAAGATGATGTGTTTTCATGGACTTTAATGTAATTCGTGCTGAATCGGAAAGGAAAGGCGTAGGAACATCTCACAGAAGAGAAGAAAGGGAAAATTTTGAAGAATTTATTTTAGTATCAGATTTGGTAGACTTACCACTAAAGGGGAGGCTTTTACTTGGTCAAATTTGGAGGGATCATCTATGAGTCAAATCGACAGATTTCTACTATCTAAAAACTAGATGCATCAATGGCCAGAATGCTCTCAAAGGTGTCTAGAGAAAGGCCTCTCGGATCACTTCCCTGTAATTATTAGTGAGAAAGTAGTGAATTGGGGCCCAAAACCTTTTTCGAATGTTCAACGACTAGAGAAATTTAGAAGGGCATCACAATTTTGTGGAAGAAAGTTAGAAATCTTTATTTGTTCAAGGGTGGGGTGGGTTTGTCCTTAAAGAGAAACTCAAACTTATCAAAGGGCCGACAAAAGAATGGAGCAAGAAACATGTGGAAAACATAGATGGTAGAATTGAAGAACAAAAAAAATAAAGTGAATGAATTGGATATGGAAAGCGAAAACTCATCACTGACTATAAATGAGATTACTTCAAAAGAGAGGCATCGTCTTGGCTATACGCGTTATCTAGATTGAAGACAAGTATGATGTGGAAAAAATCGCGTTTGAGATGGTTAAGAGAAGGAGATGCAAACTCTAAGTTCTTTCATAGATGTGTGGTAAACAGGAGGAAATTCAATGAATTAATGAGTATAAAGACAAAAAGTGCAAAATTGACAGGTGTGCAAGAGATTAAACAGGGGGTTTATGATTATTTTTCAGAAGGGTACAAAGATCGAGGAGAGAATAGACTAATTCTAAGGGATTTTGATTTTAAGAAGATTGGGGATGAGGATAATGCTAGTTCGTTTGCTGAATTTTAGGAGGAAGAGATCAAGGACGCGATATAGGATTGTGAGAGTTCGAAGAGTCCCGGACCAGGAAAAATAACCTTTGAATTCATTGAAGAGTTTTGGGAACTACTCAAGGGGGATTTCTATAGATTCATTATAGAATTTCAGTCTAATGGAAGATTGGTAAAATGAGCAAATTGTTCATTTATCTCTTTGATTCCAAAAGTGGAGAATCCGATGAATTTGAAAGAGTATCGATCTATTTCATTAATTTGATGTATGTACAAAGTTTTAGCCAAATTTCTCGCAAACATGTTAAGGAAAGTGTTGCACAAGATAATATCATAACCATAATTTGTATTCTTAGAGGGGCGCCAAATCGGAGACGGTATCCTTATAGCGAATTAGTTGATAGATGATACTAAGAGGAGGAAAAAAGAAGCCTTGTTGTTCAAAGTTGACTTTGAAAAGGAATATGACATAATGGATTGGAACTTTCTCGACTTCATGATGAAGAAAACAGGTTTTAACATAAAGGGGAGAAAGTGGATTAAAGAATGTTTGCGAACATCAACCATTTCAGTGTTGGTTAATGGAAGTCCCACAAAGGAGTTCTAGATGGGGAGAGGATTAAGACAAGGGGACCAGTTGTCCCCGTTCTTATTTCTATTGTCAGCTGAAGGACTAAGCATAATGATGAAAAAATGCGTGCATAAAATCTCTTTACAGGATATGAGTTTGGAAGTGGGGAAACTAATGTGTCACATATCCAATATGCGGATGACACTATTATAGTGGGTAAGAAAAGCTGGAGTAATGTCTGGGCAATCAAAGCAACCCTCCAATTATTCGAGTTAGTTTATGAGATGAAAGTAAATTTTCACAATAGCTCTTTAATCGGTGTGAACATTCATCAGTCGTGGTTGGTGGAGTCGGCGTTAGTTCTAAATTGTAAGGTGGCTGGAACCCCGTTCAAATATTTAGATATTCTTGTTGGTGGTAACCATCGTAGGGAGGGTATTTAGCAGCTAGTGATAGACACAGTGAGACGCATATTGATTTCTTGGAACAACATACATCTCTCAATCGGAGGGCGCATGACTCTCTTAAAGTCAGTTTTGTGCGCAATACCTATATACTATCTATCCATTTTCAAGGTCCCGAAAGGAGTTATTGATAAATTAGAATCCTTATTTAAGAATTTCTTATGGGGAGGGGATTTGGAGAAAAGGAAAGTAAATTGGGTTCATCGGAACAATGTGTGTAGGAAGAAGGAGAAAGAAGGTTTGAGAATTAAAAATCTTAAGGAATTTAATTTAGCCTTGTTAGGAAAATGGAAATGGAGGTTTCTCGTCGAAAAGGACAAGTTGTGGAATAAAGTGCTGATAGGCAAGTATGGAGAGATTGGACATAGTGATAGGTTTAGTTATTTATGGTGGAGAGATTTGCAGTCTTTGGATAAAGCAGAATGAGGATATGGAAATGATTGGTTTGATAAAAAGCTAGCTAGAGAAATAGGGAATGAGAGTGAAACTTCACTGTGGAATGGTCCATGGATTGAAGGGAGTAAGTTAAGGAATCTGTATCCTGAATTGTACTGGAAGGTTGAAAATAAAAATGAAAAGGTAGGAGAGTTACCTAGGTCTGAAATAAAATTTTCATAGCCTTCTACATATTATTATTATTATACGCTCAGTTTTATCAAACATCAATAATCATTTCATAATAGTAGTTCATGTATATATATTTGACTTATAGTTCATTTCATAATTATACGCACAGTTTTTCTACCAATCATTGTGTTGTTATTTGACTATATGAAAGAATAATAAAAACAAAACAACAACAATTAATGTTTCAAAATCTCTTCACAATCCATCCTGAAATCAATTTTAAATTAAATCTGCCAAACACATATGTTCAATTAAATGAATATTTGAACGTGAGAAAATATGCTATTACAAAGAAAATACTAAATCCAAAACACATTGAAAGCTTCTTATCTATTTCCGATAACTATAAATGATTAATTGATCCTTCCTTGATGTAGGAGCAGTGAAGTTACACGAAATGTAATGCATGAAATGAAAATCTGACATACTTATAGATTGTTAGATTAAGATTAAATTGGGAATGAAATCACTTTTTTAATAAGAATTTTAAGTATTTTTAAATATGTCTTAGAATTGGAATCCATGAATATCCAGGATAATTCAGTCTTTTATCGAGTTTGTGTAAGACTGATAAAAACTCAAATGTAGCTAATGTTGATGCACAAAGGAAAGATGAAAGATAAAAGAAATATATTGAATGACGACTATAAAATAAAGAGTAATGAATAATTACATTGACCTACTACTAGGTTATTTATACACAAAATTATGGTATAATAAAATACTAAAATATCCTCTAACAAACTTAGTCAATAAGACATTCCTAAAATATAAATTATTTCCAACACCATCTCTTAATTTATATTTACACAAAACTGACAACACCAATTTCATCCCTCAAACGAAGAAATTGATCAGTCTTGATAGCCTTTGTTAGAACATCCGCAAGCTGCTTCTGCGTGCTACAGTGCACAACTTCTAATATTCCACTATGAACCTGATTCCTCAAAAAGTGATACTTGGTCTCAATATGCTTGCTTCTCTCATGCAGCACTGGGTTCTTGGCAATATTGATTGCAGACTTGTTATCAATCATCAGCTTCAGAGGCTTATTTACCTCAATCTTCAGATCTTGCAGCAAGTTCAGAATCCACACAGTTTAACATGCAGTCAGAGCGCCTGCAATATATTCAACTTCACAGGTTGATAGCGCAACAACAAGTTGCTTCTTGAAACACCAAGAAATATGACCTTCCAGAAATTTGAATAAGTATCCAGAAGTACTTCTTCTGTCAACTCTGTCTCCACACCAATCAGAGTCTGAATAACTCAAGTTCTGATTCGGTCTTTCTTCCAGAAGGAAATAACACTCCATACTTCAGAGTTCCCTTCACATACCTCATAATTCTGACAACAGCTTGGTAATGAGAACACTTTGCTTTACTCATAAATTTTCTAACCATTCCAACTGCATAACAAATATCGGGTCTGGTATTACACAAATACCTCAAAGAATCAACCAACTGTTTAAAGGTTGTAGCATCCACATCCTCTCCATTAGAATCAGAGTCCAACTTCTGATTCGTATCAGCAGGTGTGATAGCAGCTTTGCAATTCTCCATCTTAAATATCTTCAGAAGCTCAAGTTCATACTCATCTGATGCAAAATGATTCCTTTCTTAGAGTACATAAACTCCGTCCCTAGAAAGTAACTCATTTTCCCAAGATCTGTCATCTCAAACTCATTCATCAGAACCTTCTTGAACTTAGTTATCTCTTGTTCAGAACTTCCTATTAGCAATATGTCATCAACATATAAACAATACCAGAATCATATTACCTTCTAAAGTGTGATGAGCATAAACATCATACTCCATCTCACACTTCTGAAACCCTTGTTCCTTGAAAAATGAATCAATCTTCAAATTCCAGGCTCTGGGCACTTGCTTTAATCCATACAAGGCTATGTGTAGTTTGAACACCATCCCTTCTTGATTCTTTTTCTCAAATCTAGGAGGTTGTGACACGTATACCTCTTCTTGTAATGGACCATTTATAAATGCAGATTTTACATCTAAATGCATCAGAGGCCAATTCCTGTTAGCAGCTATTGCAATCACTAGTCTGATTGTTTTATGTCTCGCTACAGGTGCAAACACTTCAGAGTAATCCAGCCCAGACTTCTATAGAAAACCTCTTGCTACTAATCTTGCTTTGTGTTTGTCAATTGATCTATCTGGCGTTACCTTCTGCTTAAAAACCCATCTGACGTTGATGGCTTTCTTGCCTTTTGGAAGTTCTGTCAGCTTCCAAGTCTTGTTTCACTCTATAGCATCAAGCTCTTCATTCATGGCCTGCAACCAGAGTTTCTGCTTAAGAGCCTCTTCCGTAC